CTTTACAAAATACGTAAAGCTCCGCCTAACTAACAGACAATTTATCATTAAACAATCTGAATTTATCAGTGAGGAGTATCCGGTAAAAGCAGGTGTTCTACAGGGTCGCGTCCTTGGGTCTATTTTATATATCATATACATTGCAGACATCCGTTTAAACCGTAAAGTGCAAACATCTACCTCTGCCTTATTACCTTAACCCTTCTATACATTTTTCGTCAACGCCTGAAAGTATTGGGGATTCCAACACAACACACTAACCAAGCTGTTAAGATAATAGCGGCTAAATTAGCTCACTTAATAGTTGTTGGTTAATAATGAATTGAATAATGCAACAACAGATTATATGGCCGATGTTGGCGCAGAGGTAGAACACTCGCCTGTTTACTTAATAAAAAAAAAATTATTGTATGTTTGACTAAATTTATATTATATTTAATTACTGCCACGATATATTGCCTCTATTATTAATTATGACAAATATATAAAAATAAATCGTTTTTCAACAGTACGTTGTTAAATCTAACATTCAAATATCTTATTGTACGAAATCGTAGTATCTATTGTGAAATAAAAATGAGTGCATACACCTTGAGCCGAGTGGTTAGAATTGCATACTACCTTTCGAATGGCCAGGGTTCAGGGTTAGTACGACCAATATCCATCCTGCGCTCCGAGTGTATTTCTGACATGAAATAAAAATCCAGCAGCCGTTCGGAGGCGGCTTAGTATAAACTGAAGGTCATTACATTTGTTGAAGGAAAAACATCTCGACGCAAAACCACAATATATTTGTACAGATCAATTACTAAATTTGTAGAGATCAATTACTCAAACACAATAGTTTTTCCAAACACATCGCTTTACTTACGATTTATTTAAAGATATGTTAATAATACAACCGCTAGCAATGACTTTTTACTTTTCAACTAACTCGATGACAACGGACAAACTTAAGCATAACCAAAGTCAGTCATCGTTATTAGGGTTGCGGGGTACTAATGTCAGAGTCGTGTTTCCTGATACCTCCTGATCTTATATACATAAATCCTGATGCAAAAAAGCGGATTCCGCCTCCTCTTTAAAAAAAAAAACCGATATGGTGTTTTCAGGTTCACTCGCTCCTTGTACTTTTAAACAAAACAGCAATTTCAATTTACTCTGAACTTCTAGGAACATACCTACCCAGTTTCAGCGCGATATTAAAATTTGTATTCAAACTATTCGATGTATGGGCGGATGGGACAACTGAAAGACAAATATGGCTTAATCCCTATTTCATTTTATTCTAGAAAGTATATACATTAAGGCCAGAATATTTCCTGAAATTGATTTTTTTTTGGATACTCCCTGTTTGGTTCACCATGAGTTCATTCCAAGCGTTTCGAGGCGTTTGCGCGAAAACATCCGTCGTAAACGACCGGAATTGTGGGCCAACCATCTCCGGAAACTTTCAGGACGAGAATCCGCCATCGCACTGAGCTGTAGTTGTGAACGATTTAAAGACCAGAAATAAGTTCAATACCATCGATCAACCAGCGTATTCACCGGATTTGGCCTCATGCGACTTTTTTCTTTCCAAAGCTCAAGGTACCACACCGTAGAACCCGTTTCGACTCAATTGAGGCATTAAAAGAAAATTCGAAGAAGGAATCGCTGATGCTGGTTGACAGATCGCGCTCATTTTTGGCATAGTAATTAAGAACAGTGCTACCCACTTAACAGTCAAAAGTGCTGAAAAATGTTCAGCGCGGGCTGTTAAAATAACAACTTCAGGATGCTTTGTGGTCTTCTGCATGTAAAAACACATGCATGAGTTGATTAAAAAGTTCGGTTAGTTGGTGACTTTCAATTTGTTTTTAATAAGTCTAAAAATAGCAAATTCTTTAGTCTCCCTGTCAAATTTTATAACGCTCGGCTAAAGACGACAAAATGAAGATAGCTGAAGATAGGTCACACGTAATTCCACCATCATTCACCACATTCGCCACATTCGGGGTTCGGCGTAACTTACAGCCAATACAAATATTCAGTGAATGCCAAATTGCATATGGAACGATTTCACTATTTTTAGGGACTATTTATAACCGGACATTTTTCCGTAGTGGAAGAGCTGCGCTTCCTTCTTCCACTGATGAAATTTTTCCTAAACAAATTCGAAAATGGTCAGCCTAGCAACTTTATTAAAGTCGCTTCTGGTGACGAATCTTGGTTCTATTTATAAGTACGGCCCAGAAACCAAAAAGCAGTCCATGGTATAGAGCCCAACAGGAGTAGACCCACCCGTAAATCTGACCAAAAAAAATCAGCAGCAAAAGTAAGAATTCATTTTACTTCACCCGATCTAAAATTGCAGCTGCTTTCCACTGGAAAATGGTCTGACGGTAAATCCAAAATAGTACACCGAAGACTACATACCAAAAGTTTTCAAAATATTTGATGGAAAACGGGAAGAAAGAGTATTCGCGGCGCTACTTTTTAGATCATGAGATCTATTAATTTAAATAAAAACTCGGCCGAAAATCGCTTCAACGGTTACAAACGCAAATTGAAAGGTGATTTGTGGAGACGAAATCCCCCAATAATAAATCAAAAAGTGGAAGAAAGCGTCTAACCAGTAAACGAGAAGACCGAATACTTATACGCGAGTCAATCCTCTGAAGGATCGCAAAAAATCTTCTTCTGCCCTTGCAGCTGCCATTTCGGATGAAGTTAGTAAACCAGTTGGTGCTCGAACAGCTAGAAGAAGACTTCTGGAAGCAGGTTGAAAAGGATGTAAAGCCCGAAAGAAGTCGTAGCTCTCAGAAAAGAAGAGGAAAATCGTTTGCTCGCCGATACCAACAATTCACGGAAGAAAACCGGTCGAATGTTCTGTTGTCTGATCAATCAAACTTCGAGGTAAGCTTAGTTAAGATGGTCTTAAAGTATTAACAGCCATAGCTTCTTAGCCTAGAGCAATTTTGAAGACATAATACAAATCTTGTGAAAACGTAATTTTTCTTTTCTACAGATATTTGGTACACCTGGTGTGACGTTCGTGAGGCGACGGGTTGGGGAAGAATATCATCCATATTGCCTGTCACCCACTGTTAAGTATGGAGGAAGCAGCATTATGATTTGGGGCTTCATGGCTGCTGGTGCTGTCGGCGAAATGTTCGTTTTCGAGGATCGCATGGACAGTCAAAATTACATAAATGTTTTTCTGTCTTCGTTAATGCGCATTTTTGGCGATACTAATTTAGACGGGGTTCAATTTCAGCAAGATAATGCTCCTTGTCACAAATCAGCGACTACGATGCGTTGGTTTAGAGATAACAACATTAAGAAACACAATATAACATCAAAAACTGCCTTAAAGAGCGCCTTAATTAACGAGTGGTACACTTTAAGTGTGGACGAATGCGCAAAGCTTGGGTGGACCTGGGATGGGACAACTGAAAGACAAATGTGGCTTAATCCATATCTCACGTTATTCTAGAAAGTTTATACATAAAACGCAGAATATTTCCTGAAATTGATTTTTTCTTTCGATACTCGCAGTTTGATTCACCATGAGTTCATTCCAACGGAACGGACGGTCAATAGAGAGTGTTATTTTAAGCGTTTCGAGGCGTTTGCGCGAAAACATCCGTCGTAAACGACCGGAATTGTGGGCCAACCATCTCCGGAAACTTTCAGGACGAGAATCCGCCATCGCACTGAGCTGTAGTTGTGAACGATTTAAAGACCAGAAATAAGTTCAATACCATCGATCAACCAGCGTATTCACCGGATTTGGCCTCATGCGACTTTTTTCTTTCCAAAGCTCAAGGTACCACACCGTAGAACCCGTTTCGACTCAATTGAGGCATTGAAAGAAAATTCGAAGAAGGAATCGCTGCTGCTGGTTGACAGATCGCGCTCATTTTTGGCATAGTAATTAAGCACAGTGCTACCCACTTAACAGTCAAAATGTTCAGCGCGGGCTGTTTAAATAACAACTTCAGGATGCTTTGTGGTCTTCTGCATGTAAAAACACATGCATGAGTGAATTAAAAAGTTCGGTTAGCTGGTGGCTTTCAATTTGTTTTTAATAAATCTAAAAATAGCTAATTCTTTAGTCTCCCTGTCAAATTTTATAACGCTCGGCTAAAGACGACAAAATGAAGATATCTGAAGATAGGTCAGACGTAATTCCACCATCATTCACCACATTCGCCACATTCGGGGTTCGGTGTAACTTACAGCCAATACAAATATTCAGTGAATGCCAAATTGCATATGGAACGATTTCACTTTTTTTAAAGGACTATTTCTAACCGGACATTTTCCGTAGTGGATGAGCTGTGCTTCCTTCTTCCACTGATGACATCACTGTGTGCCCTAGTGAAGTCCAAAATTGACCAAGACCCACGATAGACACAATGAATTGGGCTTGATTGTCATGGCTGCATTGCGATGGGTACCAGGAATTTTAAGTGAGGCCCAAACAGAGGATCGATTTAATTATGATAAATTTTTTCTAAACAAATTCGAAAATGATCAGCCTAGCAACTTTATTAAAGTCGCTTCTGGTGACGAATCTTGGTTCTATTTATAAGTACGACCCAGAAACCAAAAAGCAGTCAATGGTATAGAGCCCAACATGAGTAGACCCACCCGTAAATCTGAGCAAAAAAATAAGCAGCAAAATTAATGATGTTTTTACTTCACCCGATCTAAAATTGCAGCTGCTTTCCACTGGAAAATATTCTGACGGTAAATCCAAAAAGGTACACCGAAGACTGCTTACCAAAAGTTTTCAAAATATTTGGTGGAAAACGGGAAGAAAGAGTATTCGCGGCGCTACTTTTTAGATCATGAGATCTCTGGGATCGAGGACATACGTCCAGCACCATAATCCCCGGATACAGCACTTTATGATTTCCAAAAATTAAAAAAATTAAAAAGACAAGGTCTTTGGTAGCAATGAGGAGATAATTAATGCGGTCAATCACGAATAAAAACAAAAATAATTTTTTTCTGGTTAACTTTACGAACTTTTGTTCATCCCGTCGTATGTCTCATATATTTATATTATTTTATATTTTGCAGCAAAATTTTTTTAATCAATCATAGTGATCTTTTTTAAACTTTGTGTGTTATATAATATTTTCACAAATATCTATAATATACTATTTCCAACATATTAAAAACAAAACAAACCAAAAAAATTTAAACTCCTTGTATACTTGGATATTATTAATTATATTATATACATATATTCCTAGTCCTTTTCCATTGATTTGCCTTTGGTTTCAGGTAAAAACACGTAAAGATAAATACCGGTTAGAGCACAAACGCTGGCACAAGAGTACATTGTTATCGTAATGCCCAAGTTAAATAAGAAAAATGGATATAGTTTCAAGATTATGAACACCAGAATGCTATTAAATAGCATGCAAATCGATAAAGCCTGCACACGGATCTGCAATAAAAAAATAATAATTTGATTGTGATTATAAAATTATGTTATACAATAACGAACTAGAGTAATTTATTAGCGCTAAATTGTATTTGATCAAACCAATTTTACTTTGGTCCCGGATGACAGAGAACTCTTACAAATCTCAACACATTGGCAGCAGTATCCGCTATTATGCCGACAGCGATTGGTTCGACCAAACTTAATTTATTCTGCATCCACTGCCCTGAGGGTTGTGGAGGAACATTATTTGGATGCTCAAATGAGTTTCCATAAACTCGATGGAAGCTCACTCAAAAAATGATTCGGTTTTAGAAGTATGAAAAGTTATTTCTATACTAACAGATGATATTCCTAAACTGATAATCGATTTTAATATCACTTTGCAATATGATGTTTTGTAAACACGTCCTCCACTTACTTTAGCAGGTTGCATCTCCACCAAAATAGTATAAAATATTCCAAATACTCCATAAGACGCTGTGAACACGACCAGCATCATGAACACCATGGGAACCCAATTATAAGTGGCCTTCATTTCTGCATCAGTAAACTGTACAAAAGCACCGNACAACTGGACCGCTTGAAGCAGGCGATCGACCAGAAGCGTCCAGAATTGGCCAACAGGAAGGGTGTAGTGTTCAACCAGGACAACGCCAGACCACACACTTCGTCGATGACTCGTCAGAAGCTACGGGAGCTCGGATGGGAGGTTTCATTGCATCAACCATATAGCCCGGACGTAGCGCCAAGTGCTTACCACCTGTTCCTGTCCATGGCGAATGCCCTTGGTGGTGTGAAGTTGAACTCAAAAGAGGTTTGTGAAAAGTGGCTGTTCGAATTCTTCGCAAATAATGAGGGGGGCTTCTACGAGGAAGGTATTATGAAGTTGCCGTCTAAATGGAAACAGATTATCGAACACAACGGCGCATATTTTAACTAAATCCGATCCGAAGAAGAGCAAGAAAGCGGAGGAGATATTTGACAACCTTATATTTGTATTATTTTATATTTTGACTCAAAATTTTTTTATTCAATCAAAGTGATTTTTTTCGAACAATGTGTGTTTATGGTATATAACATATTTTCACAAATTTCTGTTATGTTATTTCAAACTTAAAAAAACAAAATCAAAAAAAATAATCTCCTTGCGTACTTGGACATTATTGATTTAAGCAAACAACAATATCGGCGTATATACATATATTCCTAGTCCTTTTCCATTGATTTGCCTTTGGTTTCAGGTAAAAATATGTAAAGATAAATACCGGCTATAACACAAACGCTGGCACAAGAGTACATTGTTATCGTAATGCCCAAGTTAAATAAGAAAAATGGATATAGTTTCAAGGTTATGAACACCAGAATGCTATTAAATAGCATGCAAATCGATAAAGCCTGCACACGGATCTGCAATAAAAAATAATAATTTGATTGTGCTTATAAAATTATGTTATACAATAAGGAACTAGAGTAATTTATTAGCGCTAAATTGTATTTAATCAAACCAATTTTACTTTGGTCCCGGATGACAGAGAACTCTTACAATCTCAACACATCGGCAGCAGTATCCGCTATTATGCGGACAGCGATCGGTTCGACCAAACTAAATTTATTCTGTATCCACTGCCCTGAGGGTTGTCGAGATGTGTTCAAAAAATATCACGAATTTTGTGTTTTTTCAAAAATTATTTATTTATTCATGAATATCTATTTTGTCCCCTTCGAAGTAATCCCCATGAGATATTATACACTTGTGCCAAAAGTTTTTCCAATCATCGAGGCACTTCAAAAAATCATTTTTTTTTTTACTTGCTCAGCTCCTCCTTCGTCTTTATCTCATCAATCGTAGCGTGACGTCGTCCTTTCACGGGCCTCTTGAGTTAAGGGAACAAGAAAAAGTCACAGGGGGTCAGATCTGGAGAATACGGTGGCTGCGGCATCATTAGTGTGTTGTTTTTGGCCGAAAAGTCGCGCACAAGCAGCGATGTGTGAGCAGGGGCGTTATCGTGGTGCAAAAGCTAATTGTTGTTCTTCCCCAAATCCGGCCGTTTCTGGCGCAAATTGCGCTTAACTATCAGGTAATATTCCTGATTGACCGTTCTACCCTGTGGCAAGAACTCATGATGCACCACGCCTCTGCAATTAATTTTTCGTCTGTGTTTGAAGTGCTCGGGCGTCCGGCACGCTGTTCGTCGTTCACATCTTCTCGGCATTTTGAGAACATTTTCTACCACCGATAAACGTTGCTTAAGTCCAAGGTAGCTTCTCCGTATGCCACAGTCAACATTCGGAATGCATCCACGCACTCAATTTCGTTTTTCACACAAATTTTGATACAGGTTCTTTGATCCATTTTTCAGAATAGGTAAAAATCGAAGACCATCCAAAACACGGGCAAGCAAAGCAGCTGTCAACAATTAAATGAACATTCGAAATGGCCGAGCTTGTCGGCATAAGTGACAAACATAAGTACCAACATAACCTCACAAAAAAATCTCTATTCTATTATACGTAACCCGCGAAAATTCAATAATTCGCGATACTTTTTGAACACACCTCGTACTAACAGATAATATTCGCAAACTGATAATCGATGTGAATATCACTTTGCAATGTGATGTTTTATAAACACGTCTTCCACTTACTTTTGCCGGATGCATCTCCACCACAATAGTAATAAATATTCCAAATACTCCGTAAGACGCTGTGAACACGACCAGCATCATGAACACCATGGGAACCCAATTATAAGTGGCCTTCATTTCTGCATCAGTAAACTGTACAAAAGCACCGAAACCGTACATCCCTGCCATCATGCCGACAGTCGAGGATAAGAGTAACGGACGCCGACCGAAACGCTCTACTAACACAGTAGCCGAGAGTGCGCCCATTATCTGCACGAATCCCATAACGATACTGCAAACATTCGGATCCATTGTCGAACCGGATGCAGCGAAAATATTCGCCATATAGTTAATCATGGCAAAACTACCGGAGAACTGATTGAGTAAACCTAAAATGGCAGCAGTAAAGAAATTGAAGAGTGTGGAACGGTTGACTGGAAACGAAAGGAATAAGATGTAGTAAGATGTAATACGTATGACTAAATATATATGTTAAAGTTAAAAACTCACTGAAATCTTTAATTGTGACTGGCGTTGATAGACCACCTTTATCTATGATCGCCCGCAACTCATCAAATTCACTTATTATTTCAGTCGATTGTGCTGAGGAACGATTTACTCCATTGTCATATATCTCAATACTTTTATAGAAGTTGAAAGATATCTCCGCTTCTTTCTGATGCCCTTGTTTCAACAAACATTGCGGCGTTTCGGGTAGAAATATATTTCCAACGAGATAAATAAGAGGTAACACAATAATTATACAAGGAATAAGATAGTAGTCGACATAAGTTGCTAAAATATATCCCACTAGCAAACCGGTGCTGAAGAACATCATGGCCATGGCTGTCAATGCTCCGCGTATGCTACAAAAAGAAAGAAATGAATATACTTGGCCTTTCGAGAGAAATAATTTCTCTACTCCTTGTCGGATATTTCACTTATGTAAACCGGCACCACCAGGAAGATACCAGCACTGGCGAGTCCAGCACAAAATCGTCCGATATATAAGTATTCGACACTTAGTACCATGTAATTCAGTATCCAGAAAATCTGTGGAAAGAATAGTCATATGTATTTTAAAATTTGTCTCAAATTCCATCGATTTTGTTCTTACCATTTGTGGAAAAGCCAAAATGTATATATTGAGTTTCCGTCCCAGCCGATCTAATGTGAGGCCAAAGAACACATTCCCTGCTATAAAACCCAAACCAAAAGTGGAACCAATCCATGAGGCATTCTCAGTTGTGACAGGGAAATCAAGCGGGGAAGCAGATGATTGCAGCATATTCAGTGTTGGAGAGAGCCAACCCAGTCCAGCGGCATGCACGAACGTCATAATATGTTCTAAAAAATAAAAAAATTTAAATTTCACGAAAGCATCGCATTGAATTCTATTAAAAAATCAATGAAATTAAATTCCGTGTGAAATAACAGACCTTATATATTATGTAATAAGAGATTCCTACCAGAAGTTATATAAATTTCACTTCATTTCTAAAGGTACATGAGATCTTGATCCTGACCTGTTAAAGTAGCCCATATTTGTTTGCGATACCGTTTATTGAAAAACGTCAACTTCGATTTTGTATGCATCTAGATAGTTTAATTATTGCTGCATATATATTATATATATATTTATATCTTTAAAATACTACGAAGTTTATCCTATATACACTTTGAAGTCCGGCACAACTGCATTTAGACTATTGAAATTTACATATTTCAGAAATACGAGCCGTTAGGTTCAAGACAAGCAACTTTTTTAACTGGTTTTTAGATATTTCTATAATGCATTAGAAAGAAGCATCCGACAATTTTTATCTAAATTTATACAATTTGATAAGATACTTTTTATTACCTTTTCCACAGATAACTTTCTTGAACCAGGTGCATATACATACAGGGTGCTCCATCTTTTATGTCGGTATGTAAATATTGAATAACTTTGATAAAAAACATCTGATTTCTATAGGTGATGTATTTTTATTCAGTTTGGTTCCCTTAAATGCAATTCACTGAAAAAAACCAGATAAATAGTACTAAAAGTATTTTGATGAAAATGGAACAAATAGAAAATATAAATTTTTGTGTCAATCTTGAAAAGAAATTTATGTAAAAAGCTTATTGTGATGATTGTATGAGCCGTACGCAAGTTTATACGTGGTTTACACGATTTAAAAATGGTCGCGACTATTTAAATGACGACCCTAGAGCAGGACGTCAAGAAACTAGTAATCGTGCTGAACTGGTGGAAAAAGTTCGGTTATTTTTGGGACACACCGTGTTAAACACACCATCAAAGTTTCAGGTCTCCGCGATCAGTGTTTTGAGCCATTTAAAACAAAGCTTTTGACAAATATTAAATATATATAGATATATGCCAGTAATTATAACCACTGAAGCGATATATCTATTATTCATTTTGTATTGATATAAAAATATAGTCGTAGAGGAGGCGAGTGAGGTGAGTCTACAGATTACAACTGGTATGGTTCGAAGCTTAAGGAAATAAAACGGAAGATCAGCTTTACATTTGTCCAATTAAAATTTTTATTCAACTTTCCGCTATCTAGTTATATATAATTTGTTTGAATTAACAAGTAGAAAGCCGTGGTAGCCGAGTAGGTTGCATTGCGTACTGCCCCTCGGAAGATTCGGATTCAAATCCTGGCTTCGTACTAAAAATTAATTTAAATAAAAACTCGGCCGAAAATCGCTTCAACGGTTACAAACGCAAATTGAAAGGTGATTTGTGGAGACGAAATCCCCCAATAATAAATCAAAAAGTGGAAGAAAGCGTCTAACCAGTAAACGAGAAGACCGAATACTTATACGCGAGTCAATCCTCTGAAGGATCGCAAAAAATCTTCTTCTGCCCTTGCAGCTGCCATTTCGGATGAAGTTAGTAAACCAGTTGGTGCTCGAACAGCTAGAAGAAGACTTCTGGAAGCAGGTTGAANGCATTTAGACTATTGAAATTTACATATTTCAGAAATACGAGCCGTTAGGTTCAAGACAAGCAACTTTTTTAACTGGTTTTTAGATATTTCTATAATGCATTAGGAAGAAGCCTCCGACAATTTGTATCTAAAATTATACAATTTGATAAGATACTTTTTATTACCTTTTCTACAGATAACTTTCTTGAACCAGGTGCATATACATACAGGGTGCTCCATCTTTTATGTCGGTAGGTAAACATTGAATAACTTTGAGAAAAAAACTTCCGATTTCTATAAGTGATGTATTTTTATTCAGTTTGGTTCCCTACAATTTTTTTGAGGCTGGTTGGCGTAAACCTTGCTTTTCAGATAACCCCACAAAAATAAGTCCAGGAGGTTAAATCAGGTGATCTGTCAGATGGTGCCTTTTTTGCTGAGATATTTTTTCCGTTATGCACGTTGAGTTAACACAATGGAACGGCTGTTTCCGATGTAAATTGTCCGTATTTCAGCGCGTTGTTGCGGTGCGAAGCGAAAAAATATATCTGATGCAAACGATCGGTTGGTAAATGTGAAAGCTGAGCAGCGTTACATACCGACATAAAAATGGAGCAGCCTGTACATACATACCTAGAAAACTATTTATAATTTTTTACGCTAATTCTCTTCTCAATTTGTCCAAGTTTCGCTCCATCATATGGCCTGTGCGTATGTACGTGGGGAAAATATCCCATCCAAGGGTTATTAAGTTACTTATGGAAATTGTATATACATACATATGTATATTTTTATGTTTATTTTTACTGACTTTTATTTGAATACTTGATGAATATCATGGTGAAATAATAAATGCAATTCACTGAAAAATCCAGATAAATAGTACTAAAAGTATTTTGATGAAAATTTACGTAGACGCGACTCCTTTTATCTTAAATTACAATAGCTCAAATCGTTATAACACTTGTATACTACAAGAACAACATTTTCAGGTAAGTGAATTACAACTGATATAGAGAATTTATGAGGACCTAATGTTTACTTATTGGGCTAGCTTATCAAAAGCACATTCGTAGCTTTAGTCCAGGCATCGTCAGCAAAAGTTATTTATTTTTCAAATACTAAGTCTCAACAAACGAATACTTCCCAAGAAATCTTTTCTTATCGGATACCTACGTCATGCTCAGAACACACCATCAAAGTGTCAGGTCTCTACGATCAGTGTTTTGAGCCATTTAAAACAAAGCTTTTGACAAATATTAAATATATATATAGATATATGCGATATATCTATTATTCATTTCGCATTGATATAAAAATGTAGTCGTAGAGGAGATGTGTGAGGTGAGTCTACAGATTACAACTGGTATTGATTACACCATGGATTAATACTACCTGTAAATTCGAAACTTAAGGAAATAAAACGAAAGATCTCATATTAAGTCCAGTCAAAACCCTACAAAAACTGTTGTTTAATTTTGTCCAATTGAAATTTTTATTTAACTTTTCGCTATCTAGTTATATATAATTTGTTTGAATTAACAAGTAGAAAGCCGTGGTGGCTTCGTACTAAAAATTAATTTAAATAAAAACTCGGCCGAAAATCGCTTCAACGGTTACAAGCGCAAATTATATATATCTTTGGCCCTGACCAAAAGTATTCTCAAATGTGGCTATCAAAGTTACCACTTCTTTTTGTAAATGTCTTACATTGGTGTTTAGCTGAAACTAGCTTCGATGAGAGAGTTAGAATTCAAGTTCTAAGTGAGGAAGCTAAGTCTCAGGTTGAGATTGCCACTTTGGTGGGATGTTCGGGGTGCGCGGTCGAATGTGGAGGCGAAATCCGACAAGAATAAATCAAAAAGTAGAAGAAAACGTCTGACCAGTAAACGAGAAGACTGATACGCGAGTCTCTCCTCTGAAGGATCGCATAATATCTTCTTCTGCCCTTGCAGCTGCCATTTCGGATGAAGTTAGTAAACCAGTTGGTGCTCGAACAGCTAGAAGAAGACTTCTGGAAGCAGGTTGAAAAGGATGTAAAGCCCGAAAGAAGTCGTAGCTTTCAGAAAAGAAGAGGAAAAATCGTTTGGAATGGTCTCGCCGATACCGTTACAATTCACGGAAGAAAACCGGTCGAATGTTCTGTTGTCTAATGAATCAAACTTCGAGGTAAGCTTAATTAAGACATTGACAAATCCTTGACATATTTCAGATTTGTGCTTTTAATTAACACGATAATTTACACATTCGTTGTCAGGATCCTGCAAGCGCAAGCTCCAGCCGATCCAATAAGCTCACTATCCGCAGTAAATCATAGAATTTCTAAAACATAAGTAAATATTTTGGAAAGACCAAGTAGAGGAGGACCCTGCTATACTGGGTATCTCCAATTGACGCCAACAGCGAAAATAAGAGATAAACTGCACAGTGTTATTAATTCGATTATAATCGGGGTGTAAAGAAGAAGAAGATATTTTTTGTTATAAATATGAAAATATATTTACCCAATTCAAATTGGCAACACAAAAATAAGCGGACGGCCCAGTAAGCAGACTCAGAAGAAACAAACTGCACAAAAATAGTAGGACCTTTGGAGCTCAATTTTGTGCAGGTCTTATTAAAATGTTTGTATGCGATAAATGCACTCTAAATGCGTTGTCTCCGAAAAAATTAGAGAGTAAAAAAACCATAGTGTGATTATCTCCTGTGTCTTAGCGTTGGCTTATCCATATTCAAACAAGTTAATACCTTAGTAAATACTAATTCATGAAGCAGTAGGTAGTTTTGTTAGTTGAGTTCTGTCATGGTAGCTGAATATCATATATTTAAATATATATATGTATGTAATAATTTAATTCACATAGCAAGAACACTGGCAAGATTTTATACCTTTCATGTACATGGAAAACAGATACATTTTCTATTTTCTATTTTTCAGATTTGAGATTTTGGGTAAAAAAAATTCACTAAAAAAGCTACAAAGAGTGTTATATAATTCTGGACGCATATACTAAATTATATTTTTCATATAGCCCTTCCAATAATTTTTTTCAGAAGTGGAAATTAACATTTAGTCCTAAAATAAAACGCCACAAATTTTAATGCTCAAGAAAGGTATAAGTATTTAAGCATAACCACAGACAGTTCTCCTTTCTTGTTTTATTCGAGTTTGCTTGAGACTTATTTCATATTATTATTTGAAATATAAATATATATTTTCAGTAAATATTCACTTAAGTGTTGCAACAAACGGGCCAGGGATATTTATCGTGAAATCGTGAAGTGAAATCGTGCTCCACACAACTGCCTCCAAAAGTGCTAAACATTTTCAACTGATGTCATGACGCTTAGAGCACGGTACGAAAATTATTTTTTGTCACCGACTGACCTAATGGAAACGAGCTTTAACCACTAGTCGTTCCATAGTTTTCTAAATCAGTTATTCGTGCTATTATTGCAATCCATTTTATATAGGCCGATCGATTTTTATGAGGACCTTATATATAATATATCACCCTGCATGTGATTCGGAAATCGTGCCTCCACGAGAATCCTAAACAGATGCAAGTGGGAAACTACCAAAGCCCCTGACCAGTGAGCCATAGCCATCTTCACTGATGGGATGCGGAATTTATTCTCCCATGCTTTCATTAACTATGAGCATGAGACTTCCAGACCACTGTAGCGTTTTTCGTGCTGAACTCTTTTCAATCATAGATGCTGCTGATTGACTGCATAAGTCTATGGCAGCTGGATAATCGGTTACAATATACTCCGACAGTAAAGCTGCTATCAAATCTATTCAATATAATGGCACCACGTCAAAGGTGGCCATAAA